AACGGGAAATATGATAGAACATCCTGTATTTTGAAACTTATATTTTGTATAGATGTAGGACTCATATTGTAGTTCGTCTCGCATAAAAGGGACGAACAGTTTTCCTCGTAACAACACAATATGAAAAGGGCCTCTTTTTGATATACTTGCATAAATTGAAACACATCAGGACATGAGTCCAAGAAAAAGGTCATCGACAGAAGTCGAGAATCATGAAAATAAAAAGAGCACGAGCTCAGAGAGATCCTCGATAGAATTCGAGGAAGACGGAGGCTGTGAGAGCACGAGCTCATATAGATCCTCGATAGAATTCGAGGATCATGAAGATTGCGAGAACCCGGATTCAAAGGGATCCTCGATAGAATTTGAGGACCATGAATCTAGAAAGAGCGCAAACTCAAAAAAGAGACGGATAGAATTAAAGGATCATGGATTCTTGAAAAAACACAAATCCGGAAAAGATCCTCGATATAACTCGAAGAATTATAAGAATTAAGCAGACACGAGCTCAAAGCTCTCGATAAAAAACGATAAGTAAATATAAAGGGAAAAAGTGCGGCGAGGATCTCGCCCAATAACAGTTGCGAATTAACAGTATTAAAAATCCTCGAAAGAAAATAACTGGAATAGAAATAAAGTGCGAGAATTTAAAACAAACAAAAAAAAAAAGCAAGTGTTTTGGAATGCAGGAAAATAGTAAAAATACAATCATGTTTTTAAGGGGCTGTTCAAGAATCGGGAACATCTGTATCAGCGGCAGTCGGGGGCTCGGCAAACATTGTTGGTGCGGAAGTCGCGAGAGCGGGGGCTGAGCCAGAAGGAGGATCTGAGGTAAATGGGTGGCCCGAGTCCATTTGAGCCACTGTCGAAGGAGCGTGAGATGCATAACGGTTGAGGGAAGCAAGAATCTCTTCAAGGACCCGAGACCACCAATCGTGATCGAGCGGTTCTTCAGGATTGCCCTCCCACCCGGGAATCTCGCCACCAAGCTGATCGAGCAGGTAGCCTATGACTTCAGTGGGGTCAGGATAGCCGTTCTTCTCCGCATACAGACGAATCCCGCGTTCGAAATAACCGACTCCGATGGAAGCAGCTTTGGAGGCAAAGTGCATCGACAGGGGATAGTTGGTGATTAAAGCCTCACGATACTTGCATAAAAAATGTTGCCCGCTGGGCGAGCAGAGTGTATCATACAGCCCTTTTGCCCTCTCGTGTGCCACTGCGCGAATGCATTCTATCTCCATGTTCTTCGTGGTCTCGCGAGCCACGGCCATCGTCTGTTCTTTCTCCGCCTCTAGCCTTCTAACTTTACTCTCGAGGGATGACTTCATCTCCCTATATTTTTGGGCCTCCATCTGAACCTTCTCGTCCGAGGTCACCTTGGCTTGTTTCAGCTGGCGAGCGTAATCTCGCAACTGGACCACCTCCAATGACTTCTCGTTGACCTCTTTCCTGAGGCGGTTGACTTCGTCTTGGCGAGAGGACTCGTCAGCACCAAAACCATGAGCCAGAAGTACGTTCATCTAAAAGATTAAAACACGAAGTCAGCGAAAACATATAGGAAAAAGTATGCAATGAAAATAGTCATCTCAATAAAACGATAAAGTAAAAATGATTGCCATTTTACCTGAGAAGCGTGAAATAATAGGCGAGCATGCTTTTGCTCGGGGGACAGCCGCTCGAGAGCCTGAGCATCCTCGGCACACCTCAGCTGGTCAAAATGCAGGAACAGGTCCTCCATGGGAATATCCGGGTGATAAGAAGACAAGAAACCACCTTCTCGGATGCGAGAGCATTTGGAAGCGAGAGAAGTCCCTTCATTCTCTGGCATGCACAGGGATTTCGGACCCCCCAAACCCGAGGGAGTCCTCTCGGCAGAAATCGAGAGATCAGGCACACCCTGAGCAGTGTTCTCGCTACCAAGCTCGATGATGAGCTCCCATGTCGCAGCTCGCGGGGGGACGGAGGAAGCGCCCGGAGCCGCGCTTGTCACGGCCCTGTCTGGAGAGGGTTGGCGAGTGGAAGGAGCATGACTGGTGGATTCCGAGATTTGGCGAGAGGAAGATTGCGCGCGTTGTTTGGCTAGAGCCACCTTCATAGCCTCTCGCATCATCTCGCCTAAATAAAGAAAACAATAATGTTAGGTAAATGAAAGATAAACATCCATACATTCAGTAAATGCAAGGGGAATAAAAGTACCGAGAGAGCGAGAGTCAGGGCAGGGCATAGCCCAAAGGCCTGAGCGAGTAAAAAGAGGGGGGGTGGCAATCAATTTTTCAACGTCCCATCGCTCGGGAGGGGCGCGAGCTGCCAAATGAGCGAGGAACGGCTTACATCCCCCCGACACCGCCACGGGTGTCGGGGAATCTAACAGAAAAGAAGTAGGAAAAACCTCTGGGAAAGGAGGGCGAACAAAGAAAAATCTTTGAGGCCAATTTTGAACTTTGTTGGACAGCCCGCTAAAAAGTCCCAATCTCGGGCGAGAGGTTAGATGGAAAAAACCTGAAGGGGAGTGGTTTATGACGAACGTTGAATGGAAAAGATCACCGGTCGGGTTGAGGCCTGCTTCGAGACAAATCATAAAAAAGGCGGACATAAATTTGATCGAATTGGGGAGAAATTGGTTAAGGGGGACTTTATATTTGCTCGCTACTGCAAAAAAGAAAGGATGAATAGGCAGGGATAAGCCCGCAAGAAATTGATCCAAATACCAGGTGCTGAAGCCGAGAGCAGGGTGTAGGGAATCTTGGGAAGGATCCGGAAGGGCTATGTCATAAGACACATCCAAACCTTGTCGAATGAGAAGGTCGGCTATGTCATCGGCAGTAAGAATGGATTTAACTGGGACGGAGGGGATATGCAAGGTGGGTTCTCTCGATTTAGGTTCGCGTATGATTCCGCGACCTTGGGATGGGGGAGGAGAAGGAGGTCCATCTACCTCCCCGGCCCTGCGAGAGGAAGGCTTACCGCGCACCTTGGAGGTTACTATTTTCTTTTTCCTCTTTGGCACGGCGGCGCGTGAAGAACCAACCGCAGAGGGAGGAGGAGAGGCCTCTCCAGATGAAGAAGAAGAAGAAGCCATAGGTATTCGAAGGGAAAAAGTGAGTAAAAAGAAAACCACAGAAAGGAGTAAATGTACCTGGAAGAAAAAGAGGGCCGGAATAATCGTCGGAGGGGGAAGAGACAGACGCCGGAAAAGGGGAAGAAATGGCAAAAGAGAGAAAAGTGAAGAAATGAGGGAGAAGGGGGTACTTATAGCAGGGGAGGGAGCGACATGAAGCGACGGCTGCACGGTTACCTAGGGCAGCCCAGCCGTCGCATTCAAGTCGAAGAGACGGATGTCTCCTCGAGTGAAGAGCCGCAACTTTGGGAAGTGTAATCGGCAAAAAAAAAAAAAAAATGAAAAAAGACTGAGAGACAAAAGGAAAAATATATATGTATAGATATATATAATAAAATATATATATTTTTAATTTACCAAATATATTTTGGTGTCGATGAAGGAAAACTTACTCGCGGAGGACTTTAGTTCTGTCCTCGCGAGCAGGGGGCTAGTTGATTCGGTAAAAGTTAAAAGTCTTGGCCCATTAAAGGAAGGCCCGGTAAGGGCCCAATAAGTGAAATCTCGCGAGAGTCCAATTTCTGTCGAGAGGAAAGGAAGATCTCTCATTTGCGAGAGGAGAGGACTGGAGCAGGAGATATGGTCTATAAAGAAGATCAGCACCGCCGACTCACATTTAATGCATGTCTTCTCAAATGTCAGAATGGCAGAGAATATGCAGGCTAGGTGATTTAGTAGATCAATATGCTGGGTCTATCTAGAGGACTCTCTCGAGAGCCGACCATGGGGCGAGAGGAAAGCCATTCTCTCAGTAGCAAGAGGGAAGGGGCGAGAGGAATAAGATATGGTCTATGGGAGGTCTGACACAATCGGCTTGCATTTAATGCACTTCTCCCCAAGTGTCAAGAAGGTCAGAGAATATGCAGTCTAGGGATTAAGCATCACACAACACGGTTCATCGAGGAGACAAGGTAAGCTTAATTGAATGATTATTTGAAGTCCGGAATGTTTTGATGTGACAACTAAAATAGGAGTGAAATCCGGATTCAGGTCCGGGCTAAGATTTTCCTCCTATAAATAGTAAGAAGCTAAGTCAACTGAGATTATCCTTTTTTTCCCAAAAAATACATATAACTGATTATTCAATTGCAATTTTCCTTAAAACCAGAAATATACTAACTTGGCCGTCGGAGTGCTAACTCCGGCATCAGCCCGGTCTTTCTTTTCCTTGTCTTTCATTTTGCAGAATCCAAAGATCCACCAACATATTCGGACGAATCACGCATCAACTACTTGATTTTGGTCTCTGTATATACAGTTATATTCTAAAGAGCTGGGATATATGTTACTTCTGCCCATGTATGCATGCTTTACTTGGATTGAAGTTTTGCCCTCAAATTTACTTGGGTTGGGTAAATTTCTGTCTCGAATATGATTTTTTTTTTTCGTTTTAGTTTTGTTTGTGGATAGTGACAACTGGCAATTGGTTGAGTGCATGATGAAGGTTAATAATGTTTTCGAAATTAAAATTATTTGCATACCCAAATCTTTGAAATATTAAATTAAACTATATATATGTTTTCTTAACTACGAAGATCATTCTCCACTGCTCGAACCATTTACAAAATCACAGGAAAATATATAGGAAAAATACTTGCATATACATTTACAAAATGCAAAATAAAACTCGTAATATCACCTTTTTTATTATTATTAAAAAAAAGTAGCCGCAATTGTTCGAAATTCAATGGCTAAACTCCGTTCTCGTGCAATAACTAGCAAACTGATGTAAATTACACTAGTCTAACCATGCGTGGTTAAACTCAATTCTCACGGTGTTGGTTCTACACAACAATCGGGTAAAAAACTATTCATCCAAAAATATATTTATTAATTAATTAATCCGAGAAAACACATCTATTTGGAATTTGGAAAAAAAAAAAAAAAAGTAGAATCAATTAAAAGAGAGGGACCTGAAAATTGCATTAGCAAATAATGTGTTTATTAAAACATATTCTTTTAAATATAACAACTCTAGCAACAATTCACCACAAGAGCGAGTATTCAAATTCCTCTCTGAGATAATTCATAATCCAAAAAATTCACCAGTAATATTCGGACCAAACGGAGTATTGTACCCGTAAACATCAAACATCCTCTCATCCGAATTAGGCATTGGGGAAGCCCATGTGGCAGGTGAGGGAATATTCGAGCCGGAAGCTTCTAGAATATTCATATTAGGTATATTATGATTCTGAGGTGAGTTTCCGGTATTAATGGAAGTAGGCCTTTTGTTGACCGAATTTGCAGGAGTCAAATTGATAGAAGCTAATTGCTGCTGCTGTTGCATTTGCTGCTGGTTCTTCATCGGTGATTTTGGCCGGAGAGACTCGATTTCAGGGGTTGTTAGGACAAGATGAGGTGCCTCGGGGGGTGGGTTTCTTCCTCCACCTCCTAGCCATACTTTCCCATCTTTGTCGGCAAAACTCTTTATATATACCTGATCATTTTTCGAGTTACTAGTTAGGACTACGATTTAAGAAAAATTAAATAAAATCGTAATAATAGTAGTGCCGTCTGCGAGGTTTAGTTCCTTTACTTTTATGCAAGTTAAAATTGGCAATTTTGAACGAAGGTAAATGGTAAAAGAAAAGTGGTTTCTCCATTAACAGAAACTTGCATTAGAGAGGAGAAACGCATGACAAAGATTCCGGACCAAAGCACATACATATACATAAATGAAAGTGAAAGCTCGCTATACCTAAATGGCTTATGTGATAAAATAACCATCTTTCTACAAAATAACCATCTTAAATTTCTGTGATAAAAATTACGGCAAATTACGGCCAACCCCCTGAGATAAGGTCAAATAACAAAAAAAACCTTCATGTTTAGGTAATGACAACCACCTCCTCAACTATGTATCCTCTTATACGTCCACCCTTACAGTGTCAAATTTACCAACTGGAGGAGGGGTTTCTTTGTAAAAAAATACATAGTTGAAGGGGGTAGTTGTAATTACCCAAACAAGACGGGGACTTTCGTAATTCGATCTTACCTCAGGGGGTTGAACGTAATTTGCCCTAAAAAATTTCTAGTATCACATTGAAATGTAGAATATGTATGATATCAGATGTTGCAGTTAGAGACGATCACAAGGCTAAAAAAAAAAACTAATCAGACTTTTCACTTGTTCGTGCACAACCGAAAAGTAGGGCAAGCAACATACCTCAGAATTGAAATTTGAGGAGGTTAGCCCTTTACCAACTGTCAACCAGCCAGAACGAATATTATGGTCCTCACCGAAAAGCTCAAGCCTTCTTCGACCAAGAGCAAAATGCTCAACTATGCGGTACATATCTTCGGGCTTTGCAGTTGAACCTATAATTCCATTGTAAGGTCATCAAGCTTAACACTGTTTAAAACGTGATACATGGGATTCAACAAAATGACTAATAGTATGGCAAGGAAGATTACGACATCAACTTTGCATAACTATAGCAAGAGGAAGGAAAATAAATATAAAAACAAGAGATCAGATTTTGAGAACTAAGATAAATCACTAAGAAACTAAAGGGCGAAAAAGATCAGCCAACATCGTCCTTTTTTCTTTTTTGCGATTAATAGGCTATAATCATCCTTACCATAAGGAGGCTCCTCAGCAATTATTACATCAGTATCAATGTTGGCATGGATTATATGACTATCGGAACTGCGACGTACAGTCCCTTTTATGCCCATCAGGCAGTGTTCCTTGAGAGCAATAACAAAACAGCTTGTTCAATAGAATATCTCAAATGAATTAATTAATAGAATAAGCTATGATATTTACCTTGGAGCGCTGAAGCAAAGTATGAGAATCATGGCGTAACCCAGGAGTTGCATTTGTTTTATTTGTCTTCACCCAACATATATCTTCACATCTGCGAAATCCCCACTAAATGGAATAAACACAGATTATCATCAGAATTGTGAATCACGTCAAGGAATTGAACTAAACAAGCTATGGAAGCGAAAGGTAAACTTGAAAAATTAAAGATTCACTTCCATTGTGGCTCTCCTTCATTACCTTCTTTAGACATTGTCGCCCTTGCTCTAACCCAACACCATCACCAACCCAAAGGAAGATGAAAGACGGAGTGTCAGCGATTGCCTAGAAAAAATCATAAAAGAGAAGAAGAAATCTCAAAAGCTAATCAAATTTAATTACATATATATATATATATGTTAAAAGAAGAAGTAAATGAGTGGAAATCAAAAATGTTTCAATCGTAAATAAACTAAAAAGAGAAGCAACGAATCCATTTTGGGGCTGTAAATTCCTAGTCAATCACTTTTTCTTTGATTTTTCAATAAAGACAGATTTTGGTTGAATATGAATGTATTGTAACTGCAACAATAGCCAGGTAAGGATCAAAGAAAAACAACCTCAATCTTCAAATTCATTATTTTTTCGAATGTCCAAGATTCCATATGGTCAGTGACACCAGGTGCTCGATGAACATATTCCTCCCATGGCGGGTCCACAAGAATGACGTCAAACTTGGTTCCAAACATCTCTGGAGAAAGCACCTGCTCACTCAGGTCACACTTGTAGTACATTGGAGCAGAAGCAGATTTGGCAACAATCTCATCCTTCTTCTGTATAAGCTCTCGAAGCTTCGGATAGTCCTCCACAACACTAGTTATTTCCAGCTCCCTAATATAATTCTGCGGCCGCATACCAGTGTCGACAAAGTTCTGAGAGTAATCATTCTGCTCTCCTCTAGACGGAGCTTTGCCAGCTGGAGCATTCGTTCTAGGAGGAAGCCATCCTCCAGAGGCTTTATTATCCTGTGGCTGGCCACGAACAACCGGAGATGACATCACATTAAAATTCGGAACAGACATACTGGGCGGCATTCCTCTTCCAGGCCCTGACGGACTGAACATCAAACCACCTCCAGGGGCATTTCCGAGATTTCCAAGATTTCCGAGATTGTGGGAGAATCTTGGTCCTAGAGGTCCAGGTGGGACAGGTGGAAGACCAGTTGGAAGACCAAGCATGTTCATCTCAATACCTCGACCTCCACCTGGCCATACAATGGGAGACTGAAAAGGAGGAATATAGACTCCAGGAGTAATAGGAACTGGAGCAGGGGACATGTTCGGAGGTAAAGATTGCATTGGTCCAGGTGGCGGCAATACAAGTGGTCCAAAAGGTAATGGAATACCAGGTTGTTGAGTGTCTCGACCAGTAGGTCTACCCCTTCCTCCTCTACCGAGTCTATTTCCCCTAGCACCCTGCGAAGCAGCTCTATTAAAGGAACCAGGATCCTGGTTTCCATGTGGATGTAGAGAGCCGCCAGCGCCACCGCCGGCGCTAGAACTTTGGCCACCAGAACCACCACGAGGCACAATACATTTCTGCTCTCTAGATTTCTCCGACAGAGAGTCATTGTCATCTCTCCATAACTGCTGATCACCATCTGTGGACCTGTCTTTTGTGTCTTCACCAGACGGTGTAGATCCTCTTTGTGTGTTTCGTGACCTCTCCTCCATGTCAGCAGCCGGTTTTGCATCGGGAATTAGCTCGGATTTGGTTTGGATTTCAATCACGTCGTAATTCTCGTTCGATATTCCGTACTTGTACGAGGCTTTCACATGTTCGTTCCAGCGTCCATCTTTTCTACCACCAGGACGGCCGTCCATTCTATCACGGCCACGCCTAGGCATATCCCAGTCCCTCATGCTAACATCATACGGTGGTTCTGCATCTCTTGCTTCCTTATCTTGCTTTCTTTTCCAGGTATCTTTATTATCCTCCCGGTCCTTATTTCTGTCACCCCAACTATCATCTCTCTCTTTCGATCTATCATCCCAAGAGCCCTCTTTCCCCAGTTCCTTCCTCCTAGAAGCAGTGCTTCTTTCATAATCAATGTCAAGATTATCCGCGTCAGTTTGGCGCCTTCCAATCTTCTCAGGCGTTCTGGTTGCATTGCTTTCAACATCTCTCCCACGCTTGTCTCTCACCAGTGTACTGACATCTTCATCAGCATTTAAAGATCTTGCACGGCCGTCAAGAATATCTTGAGTGGGATTTCTTTGTTGCGTATGCTCCTCAAATATCTCGTTATTTGATATGGCATCACGTGTTAAACTTCCCATATTGTCTTCCTCGAGAAATTCAGACCTGCCCTCTCTGTCATGGGACTTTATACCATCAATTCCCAAAGGGTCACTCCTTTCTCTGTCACTTGCACTCTCGACTTTGGCATCGAAAGACTTTGCACTTCTTGCATCAGATTTTTCTCCATGTTCAGCCTCATCCCATCTCCTTCGGTGGCTTCTTCCATGGTCAGAATACCCATATCCTTTGTCTCGTTCATTATTCCATCTCTCCAGATCTCTTAAATCTCTATCCTGCAAGTTTTCCCCTTCATAATCAGGGTCCGGGAACTTCGAAAATGATTTCATTCTCTCACTTTCTTCAGCTCGACTGGATCCTCTACTCCCAGGTTTGTCCCCGCCATCAGGCTTATTTTCTGCTTCTCCATCTTGATACCATGTGCTTAATACGTCCAATGTATTCTCTTCCGACTTTTTCTTCACCTGCTTAGAGCGCGACTCTTTTCTTGATTCATAGTCATCCTGGTCACTATCAGCTCTACTTGTGTCAGCGGATCTTTTTCGACTTTCATGTCTGTCAGACATACTTCTTAATTTGCCACTACCATCCAATCCATCAACATCTTCACCAGTTCCCTGCTTTTTAGACTTGCTCGAGCGTTGCTTCCTCTTATCATCACCCACCCAGTCCTCCTCGTCCCTCACAATATCAATATTTACCTCTATATCCTCCTCGGTATCACGTTTCACAGAACTCCTTACACGTTCAGGAGAACCCATTGCAAAGAAGATCCTTAATGCTTGATCTCTTCACTTTATAACGAAAAGCCTGGATTCAATCGCAAATACTCAATTCATGAGCAACATCCTAAAATAAAAAAAAAAAAAAAAAACAAAAAAAGGGTAAAAAGATGAGGACTAAAGATCCATTTCGACATACCAAACAAAGAGATAAACTTGCATACTGCTTGATCCATATCAGATAAACTTGCATACTGCTCGACATACCAAACAACGAGGTAAAAGTTCAATTCACAACAGATTAAAAAAAAAAACCCTATTTAAGCCGGTAAGAAATAAGCAACACGAAACCAATTTTATTTTATTTTTCAATTACATAAATCCCAAACTCTACGGCGTCAACTTCAACTAATTATCGTAATTTCAGATAAAAATCATAAAATTACAAGAGTGTACAAAAGTTTAGATGAATTTTATCGAGTGATTGAAGAACAGTTGAAGTCGCGTAATCTCAATCAATTAACTTGACGGGGGAGAAAACACATAACAAGGAAAATACCTAATCAAAGCTGCAATTATACGTTATGTTTATTATGAAGCGGCGGCGGCGGCGACGGCGAATTGGTTGTTGGCGGCGGAGGAACGTCGTCGTGCGCGGAAAGGGAGAGTCCGACGTCGTACGGAGAAGTAACGGGTCAGGAATAATATCAACCCGAATCCTTTTAGGTTTTATCTTTTATTTTTATTTTTACTTTTATTTTTATTTTTATTCAAGAAAGAACTCAAATTGCGATCAAGTAAATTATAATTCGTTGAAGAGACTTTTGATATAAATTTATCATGATGTATTTAATCAAATCTTATTAATATTTTTCTCGCTCATTTGAAGGATATCTTATAATTAAATTAAATTTAATTTTCTAATCCAATTTTTTTCATATCTTATTAAATATTTAATATTTAAATATGTAATTAAATATTAATTTCTACTAATCCTTTAACTAATCTCCGAAATATTGGCATAAGTCTAAATTAATTTTCTAATACTATTTTTTCATATTTTATTAAATTTCATATAATCTAATATTTAAACACGTAATTAAATATTAATTTCTACTAATCCCTTAACTAATCTCCTAAATATTGGCATAAATCTAAATTAATTTTCTAATACTATTTTTTCATATTTTATTAAATTTCATATAATCTAATATTTAAACACGTAATTAAATATTAATCTCTACTAATCCTTTAACTAATCTCCTAAATATTGGCATAAATCTAAATTAATTTTCTAATACTATTTTTTTCATATTTTATTAAATTTCATATAATCTAATATTTAAACACGTAATTAAATATTAATTTCTACTAATCCTTTAACTAATCTCCTAAATATTGGCATAAATCTAAATTAATTTTCTAATACTATTTTTTCATATTTTATTAAATTTCATATAATCTACTAATTAAACACGTTTAATTATATATTAATTTCTACTAATGCTTCAACATTTTAAATCCACAACTTTTCAATGACACAGTTCTTCTATTTTTTTTATCACACGTTTCCCCAAAGAATTATTGGAACAATAATCTAATATATATATATATATATATATATATATATATATATATATATATATATATATATATATATATATATATATATATATATATATATATATATATATATATATATATATATATATATATATATATATATATATATATATATATATATATATATATATATATATATATATATATTAGAAGATCCTTGGATATCTTTTAGGTTTTCCACACAAACTCTTTATAAGCAATGTTTTGAAAACTGGACCGGACCGGCCGGTCCGACCGGTTCAACCGCGAACCGCTGTTGTGTCCGGTCCGGTTAGATGTAAAAACCCAAAAAGGTCAAAAACCCGGGTCAATTATCAAAAACCCGGTTCGACCGGTAAGAACCGGGAAACCCGGAAACCAGTCCGAGAACCGGGTTTTAACTCGAAATGGTCGGATCTGCATAGATTGTCGTCTTAAGCGACCGAATCTTGTCGGAGATGGTTGGGGGTGAACGGATCTAGACGGATCCGGGGTGGTATGTGACCCAATCCAAGTGGTGGTTGCCATATAGAGAAGAAAGAATAAACCGACGGAGAAGAAAGAAGGAGGAAGAAAAGAAAAAAAAGAAGAAAGAAGAAAAGAAGAAGAGAAGGGGATGAGAGGCTCTGTAAAAAGTGGAAACAGACCAAGTAGCAGAAAGAAGGAGAGAGGGGAGAGGAGAGAGGAAAAATAAATGATTTTTTTTTTTTCTAGAAAAAGTTGACTAAGTGGATGATTCACTAAAGTGGGACGAAAATATAAAAGAATATTATATTTTAAGTATTAAATTAATAAAATAATTATATTAAAAAAAAAGTGAAAAACTCGGTTGGACCCCGGTTGAACCGGTCCAACCATGACCCAGTTACTTGTCCGGTTCGATGTCCGGTCCGGTTTTCAAAACATTGTTTATAAGTATACCTTTCTCTGTATCTCTCTCCTTCTCTCTCTGTGTTTGCTGCTCCAACACCTCAGGTAAAGAAAGCCCTGTTCTTTTTTACGTTCCCTTGCTTTGGTTCCTGTTCTTTAATCTGTTTTCACTTACTTCGGTCTCTAGTTCGTTGAAATTTAAGGAATTGGTGAAAGAAAGCGAAACTTATATGTTTCAAAATTTCTTGGTGGGTGATTCAAATTTACCATTTAGAGGATCTATGTACAAATTTAAGCTCAATTTTGCGGAATGACTGTAGTTATTAATATAGTAGCCGAAAATATTCCGACAACCAACTTCAAGTTCGTTTCTTTCGACACAATAAAGAAGAATGTGGATGAATATTTACTATTTGGTACTCAAGTTTTTCATGTAACTTAGTTTGGTAAATGTAGGAATCCTCAGTAATCAAAATAAATCTGGTACATTTGATTTAATTTATTTATTGTTACAATTGTAATTGGCCATGTGGTAGAGAAGGGGCATATAAAGGAGATCACTACAAAAGAAGAGAAAAGCAAGCTTTTGGATGTTATTCTGCAAGATTTAAAGTAATTTAAATATTATACTTTTTTTTTACAGTTTTTACATGGATTTATTCTTAATATTTCTAGTAATTTATTTTACATTACATGAAAAATACAATTAAATATACTTTATGGGAATCATTTGCTCAACAAATTGATGCATATGTAACGAATGCTGACCAAAATGGACCTACTATGATCATACTTCAGTGTTTCAGGGCTAAAACCTATTGTGGTGCATATTAATATTTACATACCCTAATATTGATGCTTATTTAGGAATTTGTTGAAATATTGATGCATATTTTTCTATATTATTTCACCTGAAATTATACTTAGGAACCACGAGTTTGTCAAATGTTCGACATGGATCACAACTACTGATTGATCCGAATTTGAAAGAAGTTTTAGACTACAGGTATAAGTACTAACATTTGATCATTCAACTTTTAATATATATATATATATATATATATATATATATATATATATATATATATATATATATATATATATATATATATATATAACCTTGAGTATAATCACTCGTTATATATTTTAATACCTGTAAATTAACAGGCTTGCGTTGTTCGGAGAAGTCTATGTCCCATCAGTTAGTCAATTATCGTCCTAACTTTCTTTGACTCGATCGTACGATCCACTCCCAGCAGATAGAATGACCATAGATGAGTGCGTTGAGAGTACAAAGGTACATTGATTTGTCAAACATATATCTGATATATTTTTACATGAACAAATATAATGCTTAAGAATCGATTGTTGTATATATATTGTTGGTGTGTGTTGGATCCGTGCTGGCGAAAATTTTGGAAATCGAGTCGGCAGCTAATTGGTGGTATGCTTCATGTAAAAATTGTGTGAAGAAGGTCGAACCCGTCTCAAAGAAATATTGGTGAGAATAGTGTGATGGGTTTGTTCCTGTTGTACCAAGGTAATTATACTTTGATTTGGTAATATTTTACGAAAGAAGTACATTTGAATTGTTGCACCATCATTCCTCTTGGTATTCGAAATTTGTATATTAAATATATATTTTTGTACAGGTTTAGAGTTCAGGTGAGTGCTATTGATAGTACTGGATCGACTTCATTCGTAATATTTGATCGTATTGTCCTGCAATTAATTGGAAAAAGTGCTTCAGAACTCCTAGGTGGTGCATCAAACAAGGTATTGTTGCTGTAATAAGTTATGTACAATTAAATCCACATTAGACTAATAACTATTTTATTTTTTTGTAGGGAAACCATAATATTCATGTTCAGTTATGATAGTACATGTTCAGCAAATGGAAGAATTGACAAACCTGATATTCATACGCCCGAGTTTTTGAATACCATTAATTCTTGTGGTTTTCCAAATCACGAATTAAAACTGAAAGAAGGTGTTCCAGTCATGTTGTTGAGAAATATAGACCAATCTTCAGGTTTGTGCAATGACACACGACTGTCAATCACAAGATTAGGAAATCGAGTCTTGGAAGCGAAAATTATATCAGGAACCAACTTTGGTCACAAGGTGTTTATTCCATGATTGACTCTAACGTTATCAGATAGCACGATTCCTTTTAAATTCCAGCGTCGACAATTTTCTATCACTCTTTCGTTTGCAAAGACGATAAATAAAAGTCAAGGCCAATCTTTTCAACATGTGGATATATATCTTCAGAAACCAGTGTTTTCACATGGATAATTATATGTTGCTATCTCAAGAGTTACAAGTCGAAGAGGCTTGAAGATACTTATTTGTGACAACGACGGGCCAAAATCTGAGCTAAGTAAGTTATTTATATATTTGTTTAAATTTATATATGGATTTTTTTTCTTCAAAGTTTTATAAATGAGCTTTGTAACATTTATTTTCAATTTATAAAAAGTTATTTTCTTTCATTTTGTCCTATGGTGCAGGTGACATATGATCAAGAGTTGAAAACAACTACTCTGTTGGTGGCCGGATTAATACTTTGATGGATAGAGTTTCATTAGATTTTCCAGTAAAATATTCAATCTATAGTTTTTATTAGATTTTTCAGTTAAATATTCAATATATTTTTATTTCTGTTTTCTTTAATGATTGTTATGTTTGTTTGTTCAATCTCGTGCATCGCACGGGTCTAAGTTACTAGTAAATTCAATAATTGAATACTCAAATTCTAATAAGTAATTAAATTATATATATATATATATATATATATATATATATATATATATATATATATATATATATATATATATATATATATATATATATATATATATATATATATATATATATATAATTTTTTACTCTCAATCAATCAGATGAGATTTTTAATTTACGAATAAAAAATTAAGATAAATAGTATTTGGTGTTATTTTAAGTGCAAAATATATATATATATATATAAAAAACAAAGACCAAAAAAAAAAAAAACCTCCTTGTTCGGGTAATGACAATTTACACCCACTTCCCTCAACTATAAGTCTTCTTACACGTCCACCTTGCGGTATCAAAATTAATGGAATCTTCTAAATTATGTGGAATAGTCTTCAATTTGTAGCCATTCTACCCCATTCCAGCTCCATGTTATGAACAAGATGATCATAAGGTGTGTCTTTTAGCGTGTAAATATCAAATTATGGTGCATCAGAAACTACATTTTCCCAAAATGGGTACAAACTAGAGAACATTTCACGAAATCTAGAAGATTATATTGAATTTGACACCTTAAGGGTGTAAGAAGATTGATAGTTGAAATGTGATTGTCATTACATTACCCAAACAAGAAGATTTTTTCGTAATTCTTACCTCAGGGTGGTCGTAATTTACCCTAATTTTAATCCATAGTTTAATTTTGTGTATCTAGAAAATAACATACCTATTAGGATAAAAAAAAAAAACAATTATCGAGAATCTAAGTAAAACTAAAGATTAAACAAAAATAAGTGGAAATGATACCAAATAAAAATGAGCAAAAATAATGGGAATATGTCTTTGTTTTTAGTTGAAAGGGGTGGATTTGTAAAATTATAAGAAGAGTAATTAATTTTAATTGTAAGATAAAGAGGGGAGATAATCGACTTTAGAAAAAAGATGTATAACTGTCACAAAATGGAAAAATAATAATAATAATCTGGATATTGGAGAGGCTTTTTTGAGATTAAAATAATAAATAATAATAAATAAATAAATAAATAAATAAAGGGTAAATTACAAACACCCCCCTGAGGTATGGTCAAATTACAAAAACACCCATCTTGTTTGGATAATTACATCTAACCCCCTCAACTATGATTTTTTCTTAGACATCCATCTTTATGGTGCCAAATTCAACATAGTCATCTAGATTCCGTGAAATGTGCTATAGTTTGTACTCGTTTTGTGTAAAAAATACAGTTTCCGATGCACCACAAACTGATATATACAAGCTAAAAATCACATATTATGATCATCTTGCTTCATATTGTAGAGTTTGAATGGGATAAAACGGGTACAAAAGTGATAATATTCCATATAATCTCGAAGATTCCACTAAATTTGAGGAGTTGAGGGGGTAGATGTAATTATCCAAACAAGAGGGGGTTTTTGTAATTTGC